GTTTTGATATCTTTTTTTATTTATTTATAAAGCTTGTATCTTTTGCTTATTTTTCTATATACCCATTTGGGGTTTCTAATGGGATTATGAGCTGCATACTTCTCTGTGATTATTGAGTGAGAGCATTTACGGAAATGAGGAAGGTAATTGCTACGGTAATATTTTTGTGTATTTTATGTCCCATTTTTGTTAAAGCACTGAACCTATCTTTCAATGATGATATACTGGGGTTAATGGTATTCAAGGCTGACATTCAAGATCCACTAGGAAATTTAGTGTCTTGGAATGAAGAAGATGATAGCCCATGTAACTGGAATGGGATCAAATGCAACCCAAGATCCAATAGGGTCTCTCAAATTGTTCTTGATGGTTTTGGTCTTTCAGGGAAGATTAGCAGAGGTCTTTTGAGGTTACAGCTTCTTCGAAAGCTTTCGCTTGCGAAGAACAATTTTACAGGGAGTATAAGTTCCACTGTTGTTCAGCTTGATAATCTGAGGGTGCTTGACTTGAGTGAGAACAACTTTTTCGGGCTGATCCCGGGTGATTTCTTTCGACAATGTGGGCCTTTGAGGTCAGTTTCATTGGCCAAGAATAAGTTTTTAGGGAAGATTCCAGGAAGTTTGAGCTCATGTGTGGCACTGGGGTCTTTAAACTTGTCGTCCAATCAGTTTTCAGGATTGTTACCCTCTGGAATTTGGTCTTTGAATGGCTTAAGGTCACTTGATCTGTCAGATAATTTGCTGGATGGTGAAATTCCAGTAGGGATTGAAGGTATGTATAATTTGAGAGCCATAAATTTGAGGAAAAATCGACTCACTGGCGAATTTCCTGATGGGATTGGGAGTTATTTGCTTTTGAGGTCAATTGATTTGAGTGAAAATTCTCTCTCTGGAGAACTTCCAGAAACAATGCAGATGCTTAGCTTGTGTAATGAATTGATCTTGAAAAACAATGCATTTGTCGGTACTGTACCAGAATGGGTTGGAGAAATGAAAAGCCTTGAAATACTTGATCTTTCTATGAACAACTTCTCTGGTCAGTTCCCGACTTCAATTGGGAAGCTTCAATCATTGAAATTATTAAATGTGTCGCAAAATGCTATTTCTGGAAACTTGCCCGAGTCCATGAGCAATTGTGTTAATCTTATGACTTTGGATGTTAGTCATAACACTTTGACGGGTGGTCTTCCTCCTTGGGTATTCAAAGTAGGATTGCGACAAGTTTTGTTTTCCGAGAATAAGTTAACTGGGGGCTTAAAGAATGCTTTTGCTTCATCGCTAGACAACTCTCGCCAAAAGCTTCTAGCTCTCGATATCTCTTGCAATGAGTTATCTGGCGAAATTCCATTTGCTATTGGAGATTTTAATAGCTTGCGGTCCTTCAATATATCCAGAAATTCACTTGTAGGCGCCATTCCTCACACTGTTGGCCTACTGAAGTCACTGAATGTTCTTGACTTAAGTGAAAATCGGTTAAATGGTAGTATCCCTTTGGAACTTGGAGGAGCCTATTCTCTCAGGGAACTGAAGCTGGAGAATAACGCCTTGACGGGAGAAATTCCTAGTTCTATTGGAAACTGTTCAACACTGGTGTCCATGTAAGTTGTTGGTTTTCTTTATGCTTCATTGTACCTTCATTTGAGATGTCTCTCTCCGCTTGACTTATAAGGAAAATGTAGTTGGTAAGTGATTGTTCACCAGAACCTAATTGATTATATAGTTTGATAATTTAGGAACTAGCATTTGCAATCTTTTTTCTTTGTTTCCTGACAGAAAACATTGTTTTGGTTTGTTGAATTTCTAGAGTCAAGATCAAATTCAAGTCCATACTTGAGATTCTTAATCATGTTATACTGCAATTTGTTAGTTCTATGCTTCTACCAATCCTGTAGAGTTACCTGCATCGATAATGAATTCATCAAATAACTTCTATTAATTTCAGATTATATCCTTCTTCATAGAGAGATTTCAGATAGTATTTTATACAAAGTACAAAAGGTAGCAACATCACATTGCCTGTTTTTCAATGATTTATGTTATTTATCCTTTAAATTTTTTGCAAAGTAGTCCCTTAGTGTCAACTCTTTGCAAAACTTGGCTAATCGTTTTGTTTCAATAAACTTGATAGGTCTCTATCACATAATGGTTTAACTGGCCCTGTACCTGCAACCCTAGCTAAACTAACTTACCTTCAAAATGTTGACCTATCCTTTAACAAATTAACCGGAATCTTACCAAAGCAGCTTGTAAATCTTGGTCACCTCTTATCGTTCAACATCTCATACAACCAGCTAAAGGGCGAACTGCCTTCTGGTGGTCTTTTTAACACTATTTCTCCTTATTCTGTGTCAGCCAATCCGTCTCTTTGTGGGGCTGCTGTTAATAGGTCTTGTCCTACTGTCCTTCCCAAGCCGATTGTTCTGAACCCCAACTCCACAGAGTCTATTCCTGGTACTATCCCTCCAACTTTTGGCCATGAGAAAAAAATCTTAAGCATCTCTGCCCTCATTGCCATTAGTGCAGCTGCTGTTATTGTTGTTGGTGTTATTGCCATTACTGTGCTCAATCTTCGTGTACGGGCTGCTACATCTCGCTCTACTGCTGCCCTTACATTTTCTGGTGGAGATGACTTTAGTGGCTCACGCAGTACAGATGCAAATTCTGGTAAGCTTGTCATGTTTTCAGGCGAACTTGACTTCAGCACAGGGTCACATGCTCTGCTTAACAAGGATTGTGAGCTCGGACGTGGTGGTTTTGGAGCAGTTTATCGCACTGTCCTCGCAGATGGGATGCCAGTGGCCATTAAGAAGCTTACCGTCTCCGGTCTTGTTAAGTCTCAACAAGACTTCGAAAAGGAGGTTAAGAAATTGGGAAAGATCCGTCACCCTAATCTTGTGGCCCTTCAAGGTTATTATTGGACACCTTCCCTACAGCTACTTATATATGAATTTGTAGCTGGTGGAAATTTGTATGAGCATATCCATGAAAGTTCTAGTGGAAATTTACTCTCGTGGAATGAGCGGTTCAACGTTATTCTTGGGACAGCAAAAGGCTTGGCTAACTTGCATCGAATGAACATAATTCATTACAACCTAAAGTCCAGCAATATTTTGATTGATAGCTCCGGTGATCCTAAAGTTGCGGATTATGGGTTAGCAAGGTTATTACCAATGTTAGATCGATATGTCTTGAGCAGCAAAATTCAAAGTGCACTTGGTTACATGGCACCAGAATTCGCATGCAAGACTGTGAAGATAACTGAGAAGTGTGATGTGTATGGGTTTGGAGTTCTTGTTCTGGAGGTAGTCACGGGAAAGAAGCCAGTCGAGTACATGGAGGACGATGTTATGGTATTGTGTGACATAGTGAGGGGAGCATTAGAAGATGGCAAGGTTGAAGAATGTGTTGACGGGAGGCTGCATGGAAAATTTCCAGTGGAGGAGGCGATTCCTGTAATGAAGTTGGGTTTAATCTGCACATCACAAGTCCCGTCTAACCGGCCTGATATGGCAGAAGTGGTTAACATTTTGGAAATGATCAGATGTCCTTCAGAAGGCCAGGATGAACCTCATCAGACATTGTAAGTTATGCTTTGTCAATGTGTAATCCCGGCTAAAAAGAATCCGGTTGATCTGTTCAGAGAGAAATTTATGCTGTATGTTCAAAACGAATCTCCCTTTCATATTATGTCCATTTGAGTTACATTTCTTTTGTAATTGCTTCTCTATGGTTCTTGGTTAGCGGATTCCTTTTCACCGGATTCTGTAACAGTTGAGATTAAGATTTTGAAATGTTGATAGTGGATGTGTCAGTAGATACAATTTCAAGACAAAATGATCAATTCTGTACTATTACATGCATATTTGTCTGACTGGAAAATGACTTCTCGAAGCAGTATAAAAGTACACTGCAATAAGATCCAGGTTGTGTTCTCAATTATTGTTAGGAAAATAACTTATAGAATTTGCAATACATGGTTGGTCAGAGTTTTTTGTTGTTTTTGAAGTACATAGCAAAATATAATATATTGGGAAGTCAAAAAGTGAGTTGATAGCCTGAGATCCTTAAAGATTCTTATCTCCCACTATAAAGCAAATAATCTCAGTGATGATTATAAAATGGCATGCAGCAGAAAAAAGAAGTGTAAAGGAAAAAGGTAGATCAAATTAATAAAAAAGAGAAAATCAGATAACAGGGCATATGATGCTGTCGAAAGTGAAGCAGTGCTGTCTATTTTATTCAGATACCATTGTCCTGTCTTTAGGTTCTACTACTAACTTATGTTCTTTATTTCAATCCTTAGCTACTCCTCATTCAAGCCGCTGAAACTCACATGGTTTTCGTCCTTCTTAAGTGTCTTTATATTGGTGGAATTTCTCTCCTTTAAAGATTTTTCTTTCCTTTTATTCTCAAACAAAAAGCAAGATCAACCAGTCGCTTGTCTGTCTTTCCTTTACGCTGATCTTGCATTAACAAAAATCTTTGTAGCAAAAAAAGAAAGCAATTCATGAGTCAGTTGTTTAGAGCTTACAAGGGTACTATTTTTCATTTCTTGCGGTCGTATAGACAGAAAAACTTAGTGCTGTTTATATATCCTTGGTGGTATACAGACAGAAAAACACGTTCCGCTCTAAGGGATAAGTTTCATTTTCTACAAAGAAAAAAAAAAGAGAAAAAAGAAGGTTGTGGCTAAACATTCAATGAAGTGAGTGAGAATCAAAAGCAGCATACATGTATATAGAGGCGGATCTAGGATTTAAAGGTGGCAGGTGCCACAATTTCCTTTAATGTATATCTGGTAATAACTAATATAGAGTTTGTTCGGAACGTCTGTTCGATTCATTTGATTCTTTTTTTTAGTTTATTCAGACAATTTAATATGCATTTTTTTATTTGCAAATATGAAAATTACATCTCTTTCTGGAGCGTTTGACTACGAAAGCGATTCATCAGGTGAGGAGATTAGTGGGGCAGTACCGGGAGAGAAAGAAGGACTTGCATATGGTGTTCATTGACCTTGAGAAAACATATGATAAGGTTCCTAGTGAGGTTCTATGGAGGTGTTTGGAGGCTAGCGGCGTTCCGGTAGCGTACATTAAGGTGATTAAGGATATATATGATGGTGCTAAGACTCAAGTGAGGACTGTTGGAGGTGACTCAGAACATTTCCCTATTGTAATGGGGCTGCACCAAGGATCGACTCTTAGCCCGTTTTTATTTTCCTTGGCGATGGATATACTGTCGTGACACATCCAAGGGGAGATGCCTTGGCGCATTCTATTTGCTGATGATATAGTGTTGATTGACGAGACGCGAAGCGAAGTTAACACGAGGTTGGAGATTTGGAGACAGACTTTGGAGTCTAAAGATTTCAAGTTGAGCAGAACCAAAGCAGAATACTTGGAGTGCAAATTCAATGACGGGACCCATGAAACAGACGTAGTCACGTAGAGGTAATATCCCCAATGAGAGCTAGTTTTAAGTATCTCGGGTCTATTATCCAAGGTAACAAGGAGATTGATGAAGATGTCACACATAACATCGAAGCGGGATAGATGAAATGGAGGCTCGCTTCCGGTGTTTATGTGATAAGAATATGCCACCAAAACATAAGGGTAAATTTTATAGAGTGGTGGTTTGACCGATTATGCTATATGGGGCTGATTGTTGGCCAGTCAAGAACTCCCACGTGTAGAAGATGATAGTAGTAGAGATAAAGATGTTGAGATGGATATGTCTGTGTACTAGGAAAGATAAGATTAAGTTATCCGGGACAGAGTGGGAGTAGCCTCCATGGAGGACAAGATGCGGGAGTCGATGTTGAGATGGTTCGGACATGTTAAGAGGAGAAACATTGATGCTCATGTTAGGAGGTGTGAGTGGTTGGCCATGGCGAGTTTGAGAAAAGGTTGAGGTAGGCCTAAGAAGTACTGGGGAGAGATGATTAGATAGGACATGGCGCTGCTTCAACTCACTAAGGACATGACCCTTGATAGGAGGGTGTGGAGGTCGGAGATTAGGGTAGAAGGCTAGTGGGTAGTTTCTTAGTTGCTCACCGATAGTCTTAGTAGCACGCATGTCCCTTCATATTCTTAGATTTTTATTGTGTTATGTGATTTTGTTCACCGCAGATATTGTATCCCTTGTTGTTATTATTTGGTACTACTTATCATTTATCTCCCTCCTTTTCTTCTATCTTCCTTTCTTACTTCTTCTTTTTCTTCCGAGCCGAGGGTTTATTGGAAACATCTTTTCTACCTGCATTAGGTAGGGGTAAGGTATGCGTACAGACTACCTTCTCATACCCCACTTGTTGGAAACATACTAGGTTTGTTGTTGTTGTTGTTGTTGTTGTTGTTGTTGTTATTGTTGTCCTAGACTCTAATTGTGGAATTTTACTCGGTATGTTGTTGTTGTTAGGGGTGTCAAAGGTTCGGTTCAGCCAGTTATTTTATAAAATATGTACCATACTATTTTTTGTTATTCTCTTTTGTATAACTAACATTAGACTTTTCGAAACCGTCTCAATCATCTCGGTTTCTCTTTGGTATCGGTACGGTTCGATTTATTTTTAGTATTTTTCTTTAAACGTCACGTAAGTGTCGCTAATAGAAGTTGAACGCGATAGGAGATGTACTTAGTACTTTTGCAAAACTCTGCAGACATTTTTACAGTTTAAAAGACGATGAATCAAGAGAATCTGAAAGATAGCCAGAATAGAGATTTATCCAACCATTTTACTACCGTGTAACCTCTTTATAACAACATCCTTATATAATAGTCATTCACTATAAAAGCCGAGTTATTCTCGAAACTGAATATTATATTATGTTATGATATATGTCCTCTATAACAACACTTCACTATAGCAGCCAAAAAATTTCAGAAAAAATGAGGCTGTTATAGAGAGATTTGACTATACATCATAAGAAAATCGAGCAAAGACAAAAAAAATATAAATTACACGAGTTGGAATATGTTAATCAAGATTGTACTCACGAAAAGAGTCCATTAGAAGACTAAGTATACAATAAGAAAAATCTTAATAATATGAAATGAAAGATATTCAACACTTGTGGTTTGTTACTCAAGATCGCTGGAATACCTGTGGCTTGCTACTCAAGATGATAGCTAGAACTAATTTAGTTTCAATAAGAGTAGCATAATAGGTTTGAGAGTTGTGACTTGGGACTTTAATTACTTGTTGGCTTGTAAGCGTTTCAATAATCACATGGCTCAATAAAAAATTAATATTTTGTTATTTTAAACTTAATATATAATATGCATATTTTTCTTATATAAAATTATTCGGGACGATTCGATATTTTTTTCAGTTTATTTCTGTAAAATTAAAAACCTACCTTAATTATTAGTTGGGTTATTAATTTATATAAAAATCAACAATTATATTAAAGAAAACCTACAAATTGATTCGATACGGTTCGGTTCTATCACTTTAGTCGGCTTTTAAAGATGTATTGACACCTCTAGTTGTTGTTGTATAAAAATTACATCTCAGACATCAAGAAGCAAATATAATTAACATTTCAAAGAAGGAATCACGCCTTTATTATTAGCGGTACAAGTAAAATCAATATTTTCATTAGAGAATTACATCTTTTTTTGTATGCCAAAAATAAATTTGCACAAGATGTTCCAATCAGAATAAGAAAAAAAATCTTCAATAGATAAATTATACCGCATAAGTAAATGCAGAACTAGATAAACTACAAGATTTCAAAAATTAAAATCATAAATCTCATATTTTTCTAGGCAATGCTTGCAAAATATTCATCATAATTTAATAGTAAAGAGACTTAAATTTTATATAACAATCATAGAATTTCACAAGTTTTTATATTTTAACTAATTTTTTTTATAAAAAACTAAATTTGATCTCAATCTAAATTTCCTATCAAGATCCAATATTTTTTATTTAAAAGAAAAAAAAATAAAAGATTTGAGATAAAGAGAAATGCTTATTTTATTAAATTTTTAAATTTTGGAGGCTCTTTTTTGAGTGTTCTCGCTAAAGATTAATGATAAAATAATTAGAGAAAAATAATAATAAATGAAAAATAAAAAATTGGGATGTAACCAAAAAGAAAAATAACTAGGAAAAAGGAAATGAAAAGCACAACGCATTGGAAAAGTCACACAAGGTTAAGACAAATTCGGTCTTGAATTTTACATATTAGAAAAGCTTTCAAAAAGATATATCAGCCACGATACTTTTATCTAGTTTACGATTAGGGATAACAGGATAAAATGTTTAGCTTAGTTTAAATGATAATTTACCAACCTAACGGGTGGTACGAAAGGGTGGATCCGCCCGTGAGTCGTACAAAATGGTAGGAGCTACCCTTGATGCCAGTCCACCATTATCATTATACAAAAAAGAAAAGAAAAGAAAAGAACATCAAAATGGTGGTCGTTTGTTGAGATGATCTCACCATAATTCCAAAGCCATGTGGTTTAGAAAACTAATGTGAGTTGTCTTAAAATTGCAACTCTAGCGTGCATAAGTCTCATGAACATTGTTGGGCCCAAGAAAACCTAATTTGTTTGGCGTTTTTATCATCAGCTAGCACATGCTCTTTCGATTAAATTTTTGATTCTAGTTCTTGATATATGGGATTTCTTAATTATCTTTGATCTTCATTTCTGAATCTTCAATTCTCTCTTAAGCCTTCTAGAAAGCTCCTTGAACCTACAAGTCGCAAGGTCCAAACATCAAGCAAAAGAAAAAGACAATTTTTTTTTGAAGAAAGCCAATGCATTAATTGTATGCTAAGTCCAATGTATGACTCACTAGTAGGAATTGGACCATGCAGATGTATTAGTTAATGATGTCTGTTGGCCAATGAAGAATTTAAATTACATCTCTCAATTGCTTAATTTCAGATTCTTTTTACTTTTTCACTTTAGCAAACTAAGAAATGCATTAATAATTACTCCTTTCGGTCTACAGTACGCGACCAATTTTCATTTTTTATTTTGGTCCAAAATAAGTATCCATTTATATAATCAAGAAAAAATTTAATTTGTTTTTCAAAAATTACTCTTATGTATGTATTCCTAAAAAGTCTTTTACTCCTCACATTAAATTATGCCGCAACATTTAATTAAGGGTAGTTTAGTCACACTAACTATTTTTATCTAAAATTTAGTATTTCTTTAATAGGTGTGTTCATGGTAAATTTGTCATTTATTGTGGACGGGAGTATATTTTTCCAATGACACCGTTATAATTCCAAGAAAGCGTGTCGTTTTTAATCAATCATTTCAGGAAGAAAGTTATTTGGTCAAATACCCCTTAAGACTAGTGTTATTAAATATGCATTTCTTTATGAATGTGCTAAAACCTTAAGCGCAGATTTCCTCAGGGAGTATCAAAAAAGCGATAGGCTGTGTGACAAAAAGAGGTGATGAAGCAGCCTGACGATTTTTATTAAAGGATAATTAATTAATGAAAATGAAAATGAGATCTGAAGAACTCTTGAGTTGATGGAGAGGAGAGAGGGCAGAACTTTTTATGCATTTTGTAAGTTTTTTTTTTTTTTAAATTGGGCAGATTGTTTTTTTTCTTGAGAAATTTAGGGGTCGTTTGGTAGGGTGTATAAGAATAGTGCGGAATAAGGTGTATTAATAATGCAGGGATTAGTAATGCAAGCATTAGTTATGCAGATATTATTTCTTATTTACTGTTTGGTGTGGTGTAATAAAAACTGTAATGCATTGCATAATTTTTGAGAAAAATAGTTATTTACAAAAATGCCCTCCATATTCTCTAGCTTTAAGAGACTTTAAGGATAATTTTGTCTTTAACCATACTAATGCATGCATTAATAGCTATGATATTGCTAATGTCATGATTTTCTATACATTATTTATACACAGGATAATACCAAATATGATGTATAACTAATACAAGCATTAGTTATACACATACTAAAAAAATGTACCAAACAAGGTATTAGTAATGCATAGAGCTAATGCTTACATTATTCTTTCTAATATCTCTTACCAAACGACCCCTTGGTAAGACTTTTATGCATTTTGGTCCTACATCAACAAAAGAAAAAGACACAAATTTCTTGAAGAAAGCCAAAGCACTACTGGTAGGCTAAGTCCAAAGTACTATACAAGTAGGTGTTGGACCATCGAGCGGCATT